GGCGACGCATGTTGTTCCAACATGCGTTAGACACATGTGGTCCGCATATAGTCACAGGCCAAACAAAGCCCATGTCACAGTTCAACACATCTTCTTTGCTAGACAAAGGACAGACAAAGAATAAACAAAGGGCAGGACTGGATTCCCTGCACCTGGGAAACCTCTCCTGCCCTTTGTCTGCCCTTTGTCCCTCCTTTGTCTAGTAAAGAACGATTGTGAAATTGTCACACATCTTTTGTTTGGGAGATCATTACCTGCAAAGCACATGCGTCTAATGCATGTGGAAACCACATGCGTCGTCTTTTGCCCCCGGTGTCACCCTGGGGATTTTCGAAAGTGCCAAAAAAGTCACGAACTCGCGCCAAAAACACCCAAAAATTCCAATTTTCGTGCGCGCCACGCATTTTGGTTCACCACGCCAAGGCGCTCTCACAAAATGCCGAGTTTGACGTGATCAGGGCTAATTTGCTTCTGCCTCCCACCGCCACTCATTCCTCATCGTCGCCTCATCCATGGCTCGTTCAGCAGCAGCAAGTAAATATTAGACAGGTAAGCAACACTACTTCAACCCTGGCACCTCCAGATCTTCATCCCTGTCATTAGCGTGTCTCCAAATACCGATGCTAGTGCAGCCACTGGGAACGAAGTCAATGAGGATATTGGGATGATTCTTCCGCATCCAATCTCCGAACTCAGCTGACCGATGAACAGACCAGACATCATAGATCAGAAGCGCCTTCTGTGAAGGAGGCAAACCAAGTAGGGCCTTCTTTCAAGCCAGGTGCGGGGCGAGCACGTCATTCACCCACTCGCGCATCGTTTTCTGATTTGACCAGTGATTCCCAGTCTTTCCAGAAAATTCGAAGCGAAAATTCGCGTCGTCGCATTCCTGGCGGCTCGTCGCAAACTCTGACGGGTGCTTCACAACGTCTTGCCCTCGTATACGCACTGAACTGGAAGTGCATCGCCCGCCGCCTAGTGCATATAGAGTGTAGCACAAGTATCGAATATCGCGAATATTCGTGCCAAGCCATTCGCGAATTGCGAATATTCGTATTCTTGAATTGATGTGGCTGTGCTATTCGTGCGAATGCGAATATCAGTTTCTGGGAAAGTGGATATTCGCGAATATTCGTTGGGTAATCCTGGGTTAATCACCGTGGAATAGAGCAGAGAACCAAATGTATTTTGGCAGATTCTCATGTCATCTGCTGATGTCTTTATGTGCCACTCTGATGTTCAACTGCCAATCTTGATTTATACAGCCCACAGTGTGCTAAAGAGGACTCTTCATGGGTTTTTGGACTGGGATCTGTAGTTCACATTGTATAGAATGCGTGGATGAAGGCACAGCCTAGACCAATGATGGAGAATGCATGCGTGAATATTTTTTGGACTTTATGACCCAAGAGTATGAGTAAGGATAATAAGATAGAAAAAGACTGGAACAACATGAAATCCAGGGGATGAAAATAAATTGGGCTGATTTGAATGCTCTGCAAGGGGAGGATATCTGTGTCTTCCCTAATTGCTGAAGCATAGAAACTAAGATGGATGGGCAAATCCATCAGATCTGCCATTGGGGGTTTTCCTGATGGCTTCTGCTGACATCTACCCTCGAGCAATATTTGTTGTTTCTGCTGGCTTTGCATCAATGATCCACTAGGGGCCTCTGTAGAACATCAATCAAGTGAAGAGCAGCCGGCACAGCTGGCTGCCAACCACTTGTATAATTGCACAAAGTGGTCTCTGGTGGTTCACTCCTCATCAGGAGTAACTTTTATTTCGCGCTCATTTTAGTGATGACACACTGCTCAGCTAAAAATCTGACAGGTAGGGGTTTTTGGAGGTAGGGGTAGAGGTAGGGCCTAAATACCTCTACCTCTACCCCTGGGGAAGGTTATGAATAACTCACAACTAACGAGTATTCAAACTCACTGAATGTGAATAGTTGCCACTCACAAGTATTCGCGAATACAGCTTACTAATCCACGAATATTCGCATCAATACTCGTACGAATGCGAATATCATTTCTCCCACTTCAATGAATATTCATATTCGCGAATGTATACTCGTGCTACACTCTAAGTGCATATATTGGATAAATACTGAGTTACATACAACGTCAAGTGACATGCAAACTAAAAATGAAACCCTCGATTCCCGAGGCTTGATTGCAAATTGCAGACAGTGAAAAAGAAGTGGGGAAAAAACACCCAGAAAGAAAGTCCACCCAGCGGGAAGAAAGCTGGTAACACCATATTTTGGGCATGGGGAGTCGAACCCTGGTGTGCAGCTCACATCACATATGGAAAGAAGCAAAGAGATGCTGCTTTGCTCTGCACACTATGTCAATTTTTAGCTCTGATACTGTGTTGGTGATAAGCAGGATATTGAACCACCACTGAAATCACTTGTTTTTGCGATTTTCTTATGTTCAGTATTCTGTATATCATGTATCGGTTGTATCAACTGGCTTCCCACAAGAGGCCAATATCATCTGAGTAAGGAGATGGTGCTCCTGAGGAATCAGAAGCATCTCTAGCATGTGCTCGCTCCGAAACATGTAGGGGAAGATCTAGCCCAACTCAACCTATCAGTTGTATCACTAGTTTCTTCCGTTTCCTACAACAATTTGAGTGGTTTCTAATGTATCAGGTGTATCAGGGCGTGGATCAGTGGGGAAATCATGTCAGACATATTAGACAGGTTGTGCAAAGCCGCATGGTGCCGCATGCAGCACCGTGCGGCCATTGTGCAAAGCCGCATGCGGCACCGTGCGGCTTTTGTTTCCCTATCCATTATGTATCTAAATCTTGCATACACTCCTTTGAAAGCTGCCGGTGTTGATTCTGGCATCAGGTGGGACAAGGAAGTGTGGAAAATGGTGTGTTTCAGCAGCATCATGGCCATAGCCACACAGCAGCTGTGGCAAACCCAAATAATGTCGTCAAAAAGGATGCACATTATGTTTGGTTAGTGGTATCATGTACTGCATTGCACCTAATTTACCATATTTCATCGAAATGAACATCGATCCACTCATAAATCCATTGGTTTTATCATGCGGCTTTGCACAATGTCCAAAAGCCGCATGTGGCTCTGTGCGGCTTTGCACAACCTGTCTATTTGCATGTGACAACGGGATTGCTGTTCCACTTGTTCCAGGTACGCAGCTATGCTGGGCATGAGTTCAAGGAGATAATATCAGCCGGGTCTTATGATGGTTAATCTCAGGACCTTGGCAGACACTGGGGATAGTAAACTCTAATCCTCATTGGTCTCATTTACTTGTCTCAACAAAGTGGAAACAGATTGGGGTCTTGGATGGACATAGCACAAGAATAAATACGGGCTTCAAGGAATGGAAGCACCAATTGAAGCAGAGAAGATGGCAGGAGAGAGCAAGAGACGACCAGCTTTGCACATATGGTCGTTGAGTGGTGTGTTCCCATCAATCACCACCTTGTTCGCTTTGCCATTGTACTGCCAATTGTTGTTCGGTAGCGTAATAAGTGGCGAACTTTCAATGACTTGAATGATATTTGCAAGCTCGAAGATCAGTTCTACCCAGGTATGTCTGACATCAGCATTTCCAACTCAAAGACTCCTTCATGCAGTATGCTGAGTTCATGAGAGCTTTGAGGCTTTAAGGCGCTGGCAGAACTCACAGAAGATACTTAAAATGTCTGCACAAGCAATCTGGACAGACAAAAGAGCCCAAATACTATCCCAAAAGTAGTTGAGAGCTTTTCAGGTTGGTAATCAGTGGCCTTGAGTCTCCATGCCTTGCAAGCTGGTATGTACATTACGGTCCCTATGATGGCTTGAGATGACTTATAAGCCATCCTGCCAGCGGCTGATGATGTATTTGTAATCTCCTGCAAGCTGGCAATCCTGCTCAAGCCGTTACAACCCAAACAGGGTTTTTCTGACATGAATACTGCATATCTTGGATGAATACTGAGTTACAGTACAACCTGCAAGATAAAAGTGAACCCTCGACTCTGCAAGGGGATTTTTGACTGTAAAAGAGAAGAGAAAAGACGTAGGAAGGACCTGAAGAAAAAAGAAGCATATTATCCTCCTATTTCGGGCACGGGGAGTCGAACACCGGTCTGCAGCTCAGATCAACTACTTGGAATATCAGGAGATGCCGCCGTGCACCGGGCACTATACCCGATTTCTAGCGCTAATACTGAGTATCATTCCATTCAGATTGTCAATGTGTATCTTGGCCAAATACTTTGAGTAACCGCCCTAGGTCGGATTTGATTGTGAGCCCTTGACTGTTGTTTCGCTAAAAAGAGAAAGGAGGAAGAAAAGCAGATGGAAAGACATATGCAGGAAGAGCGGGAGGGGAAAAGAAGGGTTTGAATCCCTGGATTCGGGCATGGGGAGTCGAACCCCGGTCCGCAGCTCAAATTGATCGCTCGTTTTGGCCCAAGAGATGCTGCCGTGCACCGTGCACCATACCAGATTCTTTAACTTGCTACGTTTTCGCGCAGACTTGCAGCTAATGTTTCACTCTAAGTATTTAGATCAGTACAAACGCTCCGTCCCGACATAAGCTGCAAAGGTGACATCACTGCTGATGCTTTTGTTGCCACTGCCGGCACATAATAAGAAAAGAAAAGAAAAAGAACAAGAACAAGGAACAAAATGCTTAGATGTTTTTGGGGAATGCCCAGAGGAGGATTCGAACCTCCGCCTCCTTGACAATTGGAAATTCGAGTTCACTCGTATTGAGTCAAGGCGATTTAACATTGATCCATGTGCGTTTCATCTTCGCTGATCATGAAGGCATTGAACGAGGATTTAATTTGTATGTTTTCAAACCTCTCCTGCCGTTCTGATTACTACTTGTCGAGACTTGTATATAGACGATGGATGTCGATACCTGGATTAGGCGACTGAATATGAGTAGAGGAAGAGAAGCGCCGTGCCAGTGTTGAGTTGAGAGAGGAAAAGAGAGTAAAAATGTGAAACCACGTTGGGATGCCCCCAGGAGGATTCGAACCCCCGACTTCTCGACAATGTCAGCATCTGCTATATGATATCAAGGCGATTTACCAGTAATCTATGGGAGCTTACTCCGCATAGGGTAGGCTGGATAATAATGATAAACTGACTGCTGATCAGTTTAGTCTCTTTCTGCCTGAGCCGATAGAGATTGAAATAGGTATGTAGAGGAGAAGCCCAAGTCGGCGTGATGCGAGAAAAGATTCAAGGAAGGGGGGAAGAGGAGGGATGGATCCGGATGGGAGACGACTCGACTCGATTCTGGCAGCAAGCGTCAGAGTGAAGTTAGATGGACGGACAGGATCTGCCACGAGCAAGTCAAAGTGGAGTGCATGCGAAGCCAGTCTGTGTGAGGGAAGGAAAAGGTTAGCTGCTCAATAGTTATCCTGGCTTTTCGCAAGCCTGACTGCAATACGGATACAGAGAGTTTGGCGCGCGATCATGATCGACCGGTCTTCTTAATGGTGGTTGTATTCGTTTTCGGGTAATCGCGGCATCCTACTTGAGTAGCCCCTAACTGCGCAGGTAGGCATTGTGGCGCACCGCTGGACCTCGGAATTTGTCAAGTAGAGTCAGAGGAAAGCGGAGGAGAAGAGGAAGAGGCGGAGACTTCATTACGATATTTGGCATGATGACAGCTGGGATCGGCGCCAGCGCGACGACGACGATGTGGCACGCGGAGCGAGGGGGCGACGGGTTACTGTACAGTACCCGACTTGATGGCAACCACGCATGCTTGAAAATTGTGGTCACCGTCGATGACCGGTGTGCGCGCCTCCGCGGCGAAAGGCACGACGATGATGAGGCAGAAGATGATTGAGCGGGAGGATGGACAGACAGACGGCTTGCTCGATTGCGCTGCTATCTTCCAAGTAGCGCGTCTCAATGAAACCCTTCTATTGAGTTCATATCCGCAGCCAGACAGCCCGCACTCTGAGGCACGGTGAGCCTGAGGATGGCAGCTCGGGCGATGCCTGGTATCACCGACCAGCTTGGCATAAGGGCAGGAAGCATTGATTTGCTTACGTAAGTGTATTGGGCGCCGCCTCTTCCCATCCATCACCACCGCCCAGTGTCGAGCCACATTCCATTCATTCACGAAATCCAGTCAAGAGAAGGGGTGTAACAGAGTATAGGGCTTGAAGGGAAGAAAGGACTAGAGAGGAATCAGGAAATAGCAAGAGACGAGGATGCCCTCCCTGTTCTCGCGCGCTCGCACAGCGTCCACACCCTCGAAATCAAAACACAAGCAGCAGCCTCCATCCCTTGCTCCGGCGCTCCCTTCTCTCCCCGGCTCATACGCCTCCTCGCCGGTCGATGAATTCGGGTCTGTCAGTGGACCTACGCTAGGACGGACACGGAGCGCCTCCCTCCCGCCCGCTGGCCCGGGCGATGCGGGCTACGGCGCCGTCGGCTTCCTGCCCACCACTCTCCCTGCAGATCCCACCACCCCGTGGGCGCAGACCCACTCACAATCCCTCTCCTCGTCTACCTCATCCACCGCCTCGACACTATTACCCCCCTTGCAGCCGCGGGCCGCATATGGCCTACTGAGCCCCGCGCGCGATGCGGTACTGGGACTAGCCGACGTCGCCCGGCTCGTCTCCACCGTCTGCGCCGCCCTCGAACGCACCGGCGTCGCCACGCCCTTCATCTTCAGCGCGCTTGCGTTGGACGTCCGACGGTCCGGTGTCGTGCGGCTCGTCAACTCGTTCCTCGCCACCTGCAGGGACTCCCGAGGCGGAGCAGGAGGAGGGAGCGACGAAAAGTTTTTGGACGAGACGCGCTTCGCCTCGGCGCACGAGCTCGGCATGTGTCTCCGCTGGGGGCTCTCGCGCGTCGTGCGCGTCGAGGGCGGCAGGGAGGTGCGGGGCCTATTAAGCTGGCCATGGTATGAGCGGTGGAAGGGCGAGGAGGGGGGTGAGTGCCTTGCTTTTTTCTTCTTTTTGGTCTTCTCTTGGAGCGCCGCTATTCGGGCGCATCCGCACATGCGGATCCACCACCTTCTTTCTTTCTTTCTTTCTTTTCTTTCATCTCCACTGCATTGGCATTGATTGCCTTGGCATCTTCGTTTCTTTCTTTTTCTTTCACCTCCCATCTTGTTTTGATTCTACGCTACCTTTCCGATCCTACTCCACCTCCGGAGGCAGACGTCGTATGTGGTGGTGTCGGTGTCGCGGTGCCGTCAGTGTCGTATGATGTGATGTGCAAGATGCGGATGCCAGTGCGGGGTACAGGGAGAGGATGTTTGCGTGCTGCCGGCGCTGGCACGGTGCCTTCCCTTCCTTCCTTCCCTCCTTCCCTTCTTCGTTGCTCTTTTGCCTCCCTCCTTTTCTTTCCTCCTTCTCCCTAAGCCATATATATATCAATATACTAACTCACTCATTTAACAGCAAACGCCTACCCCCCAACCGCATTCTCCACCCTCCTCTCCTCCCTCCCCGCCCAGCTCCCCCCAATCCTTGCGCCGCTCTTCGCCCTCTGCACAAAGCTCGTCGCGCACTCCAATGCCAGCGGCCACACCCCGCCGACCCTGGCGCCGATTTTGGCGCCGCTGCTGTTTGGGTTGACGGCGCCGGGTGCTTATATGGGTGCGTTCCCTTGTTTTTTAGTTCTCTTCCTTCTTTTTTCTAGTTCTCTTCCTTCTTTTTTCTAGTTCTCTTCCTTCTTTTTATGCCGCTAACGCACCTAACCACAGCACCCCCGACTTCACCAGGCGGGAAAAGCAAAGACAAGAAAGAGGCGGAAGCGGAGGAGGTGCTGTTCCCGACTGTGGAGGACTTTGGCGGGTTTGCGGGGTGTTATGAGGTGTGTGTTTTTTTTCGTTGCGAGGTTTTTTTTTTTGGCTTGAGAGGGCGGGGAGGCGTGTAGACTTCGTGACGATGAGCGCGTCGGCCGAGGAACGGGAGGAGGCTCGTTCCTTGACGTACGCGTATGGGTGCGTGGGTGCGTGCGGGTGCTCGTATGCGTACAGGTGCGGGTGAGGATGCGTACACCTTACTCGTCTGTCTCTGTACATCTCTACCCTACCGGCGGGCGGTGTGACGCGCGCTCCGCCTCTCCGCGCCTTCCCTATCTTCTCCCTTCCCCGCCCTCCTTCCCGTTCTCCTTCGCTCCCTCCCTCTCATCTTCTCCTTCCGCGCTCTTCCCCCCTCCCCTTCTACTTGCACACTTGCGATGCGAGACGAGACGAGACGAGACGATTGCGACGATTGCGACGATACGCTGCGCTACTGGAGGCGCGGTTGGGAGTATACCTGCACCCTGCCTTGCCTTGCCTTCGTGATCGCGGTCGTCGTCGCGGTGGTTGTGCGCGCCCCGTCGTGGAGCGCGCGATGCGGAGACGCACTTCGCGTCGGGCACCATACTCTGCTCTTATGCTTGCGCTCCCTCTCCCTTTCTGTCTCCTCTCCCTCCTGCACCCGTCCTTCCCCCCTCTTCCGCCCCATCCCTCCCTCCCTTCCTAATTATCATCATCTCGACTTTACCACCATCTCGACTTGACGCTCACCCCTCCACCTCACAGGAATACCTCCGCACAACGCGCGCCGCCGAGCACCTCCTCCTCGCGTCCATCCGCGAGCAGATCGCCTTCGCGGAGGGGCGGGGGCTGGGCGCGCCGACGCGGTTAAGGGAGTGGGTGGGGATGTATCCGGCGAGTTTGGATGTCGGGGGTGCGTGTTTCGTGTTTCGTTATCCTGTTTCTTTTTGTGTGTGGAGCGGCGGGCGGTTTGCGTGGACGTGCGTTGTGAGGGTTGGGCCAGCGCTGACGCCGAGGCTGCCTTTACTCTCACGTGGTAGGCGCGGGCGCGGGCGAGATCGGGATAGGTACGGGCACAGGCGGGAGCGAGTCGAGATTGCGTGTGCGCTGGAGCTGCCTTGCCTCTCGCGCGTGATGGCGAACGAGTCGAGAGATTCGGTCAACACTCAGGGGACGAGCGTGCTTGCACGAGCGAGGTCGTTTGCACCAAATCGAGTCGCGGCTTTTTTTTATTGCGCTGCCTTTCCTCTCGCGCGTGAAAGCTAACGAGTCGAGAGGTTCGGTGAACGCGCAGGGGACGAGGGGACGAGCGTGCATGTACGAGCGAGGTCGTTTGCACCAAGTCGAGTCGCGACTTTTTCTCCCCCCCTTGGGGTGGGTGTGCGGGGTGCGGGTGGATGGGGCCTCTCCTGCTCTCGCTGTCCAGACGGGGCGTGGATGGCATTGCATTGCGCGCTGTCGAGGACTTGGCGCCAGTCGAGTCTCACACACAAGTCACCATTTCCTTTTTTGGTGATTCGCCTCGTGTGCTGGTCTTCTCTCCCCTTCTCTTTTGGGCTCGTCTTCCCTCTGCTTCTTTCCCCCTCGTCTCGAAATCAAAGACCCGCATACTGATCACCCTCACCTCAAGCAGGCAAACCCACCGGCCCTAGGCGCGGCGCCAAGACCACGCGCGTCGTGCATGTGCGGCGAAACGTACGGAGCTATAGTGCCGACCTTGTGAGGAGCGGGAGCAGTTGGGCGGGGAGTGGAGGGAGTGGTGGTGCGTATCCGTTTCTTTCTTCCCTCATCATCTTCTACGCACGCTCACTAACTACTCACCCCAGCCCAAAACGACTGGGCCGCCTCCAGAGCCTGGCGCGCCATCATCGCCGGCGGCGCCGGCGCCCCACGCTACACCGAATCCTACCGCAAACGCATGGACCTCGGCGTCGGCGTGCACCCCTCCACCTCGTCCCTCTCCTCCACCTATTCCACCTCCACTTCTTCTTCCACGTCCACTGCGCCCACCACTTACGGGCTCTCGGTGTCTGGTTCTGGCTACAACCACTCTGGGAGCGCGTCAACGTATACGCTCAACACGCCGTCGACGACGTCGCTCGGGAGTGCGGAGGACGCGGGCACGGCGTTCCGCAGCTTGACGGATATGAAATGGGGGGAGTTTGAGAGTCTGGGCTTCGGTGGGGGTAGCGGGGACGGTGGATTACTTGGTGGGGGTGGCGGAGGGAAGGAGGGTGGGATTGAGGGGAGGCTGAGGTTTGATTTGACGGAGAATGCGAGGGCGGTGAGTGTTCCTCTCCCTCTACC